AGTTTTCTAATTTTGATTCTAGTCTATTCATGAGTATATCCATGCAGTTTAGGAGCTTAGGTTCTACATCTGTAGTAACCTTGGCATAAATCGTGCCATGACATTTAATAAACTCCTCACCAGTTTCACTGACGGCACCCGTACTATCGTTTTTGGCTCGTCCGCCATCTTGTCCGCCATTAGCAACGATTTTTTTTGCTTTCAGATCCACAAATAAAATCCGTAATAGGTGCTTGTGACATCTTGCTTCAAGGTTTTACTGTATAAGAGTCTTATGCGTTTGCGATCATCAATCAATAAGTATCACTTGCCTCTCGTATTTCAAGCAATTACCATTTGAATCGAGAGCCTTTCAACAGCTAGCAAGTCATTGCTTACCGGAAGTCCAAGCTTTATATCAAGACTTTATAGGGTGAAACAGGGGATTTCAAGTTCTCAAGAAAATGGTGTTATCTTTCTATAAGGATGGGTTCTAAAATCATAAGTTGCATACCAAACGAAACTTGAAGTTACAATCTAACCACGCATTACCACGCTATACTTGAAAATTCTGAATCAAAAATTGATTGATAACGTCACAATTTATGCAAATTATCTAATTTGCATAATTGAATATCGGAACAATTTGGGAAATTTAAGTAGGTTTAATTTGATACTAATATCATCTCTATAGACCAAATAATGACAAAGCTACAAATAATTTAAGATTCCAAGGTAGGATGTCTAAAGATACGAAACCATGGGAACGAAATGCTACAATACAGAGCAACCAATAAGAGTTTGCAAGGGCATCCGGCATAAAATTGAACTTCAAAGTGTTACCTTTTAAAAAAGTATGGATGCCATAAATTAACAGAGATCGATACGTTGGGTACATTTTTAGAAATAATAGAGAGGGATGGGTTTCTCACTAACAATTGAATTTATGATTTGTTATTAATGAAAACTATTGTAGACTCTATAGACTCATTCGAAACAAAATATTGACTGATTTCATATCTATTTCTAAAGTAATTATAGTCACATCTATTTGTAACAGCACATAATATATGATCTATTTAAGATTTTTTAAATTTGGTTTTTACATATATTTATTTCAGCATGCCAAGTCCGCGACATTGCATAAAACCATAAAATAGTAGTGAAAAAGTTAGACTACGACAGTTGTAAGTTTGTCGTAACTAGACTCTGCATTCTGTCGTAGAATTGTTAAGAAATATACAATGGATTCTTGCCTTATGTTATTTCCTTATACATATCCAAACTTTAATCTACAGCAGTTTCAAAATTTTAGTGTATGGTATTTCACCTGGACCTTTTGTAAAATATCGTTTATGGAATTAGAGATGTGAACAATAGTGTAGGCATATATGGTCCAAAAGGGGTGAAACGATGTCGATGGCTGGATTTCCAAGACCCCCTTTACACCCCACCTCATATTTATCAAATCATTCATCATTTTGAGAAAATAACGAGGGATAACCAAGAGTACTATATAATTGTCTTTTCTTTTGGGAAAATCTACACCGATAAAGTGTGGAGCAAAAACCATTTTGAGAATTTTGAGCAGATTGATGTGCCAATCAGCGTCAAATTATCTGATTCAAATGTTTTACAACTACTATTTGAGTTATCCAAAATTATATATTTACGAAAAGTGGTGACCATTTTGACCAGCCATATTTCAGATTTCTATTCATAAAGGCCTAAGAGTCTAAGACAAATGCCAATATTTAGACTTAATCTTACTAATTGTATTTAAATGATAAAAGATTACATTTTGCATGAAAAATGGTGGCCATTTTGAAGTCAGAGACCATCTTGAAAATTTGGACCAAATGCGCCCCCCCCCCCCCTGTGTAATCACATGTACACAGGTACGTAATCATTTAAACTTGCAAAAAACTGGAAGTTTTACCTTTTGATACTTTCCTATGCTGAACATTCCTTCCAGATCATTATCTGTAGTCGACACACATTCTAATACATTTTAAGGTTTGAATTATACTTCTCATAGGCCTGGGAACAAATAATGTATAAAAATCGAGTCTACCAATAGCTTGCAAAAGATCGATCTTCCCTTTGTGTGATAATTGACAAAGCTTTAAATTGGCAAAACGAACCGTAATGCAATAAAAAAAATTCGGCGATATTCACCGTAATCTCCTTTACTAATGCCTTGGTCACATTTGCTCCGATTTTCACTACGGCGCCCGGCCGATTGAGTATTTTGTTCAGAAATGTATTCAATTTTGAACAAATTACTCAATCGGCCGTGCGCCGGCCGATGAATCGCAGCAAATGTGACCCGGGCATTACTTGCCATTACTAGATTCGATTTTCTATACATGTTCCCGGGTCTGTGATACATGCACACGTACATTGTATTACAGTGATTATGGTCACTCTTACCTCAGAAACTGTGACCAGCAACAATAGTCACCAGAAGCAGAGTCAAGCTATTTAGTATTTACTGTTTTACAGGGTGTCTCAAAAATGTACCCAAAATCATACCAAACTAGTTCTCACCACGTTCTCGAAAACGGCTTAAACGGTGCACGAACGGACTGGAGGTACTTAAATAACCGTTTGTGTGTTTGTTCCTCCAGAACGTAGAGCATGCTCACAATTTTCTGGTGCATTGGCCATCACGTTCTGGAACAAGTGACAATGTACTTAGGACGAGCTGGACGTACTACCAACGGAACTGTCGTACGCGTAGGCCTACTTTAATTCTAGTTAGGGACGCTTAGAACGAGTTCGACTATCTGTGGACGTATTGAGAACGATGTAGAACTAATCGAAAACGGGTTAAACTGATTAAAGACTGCTTATGAACGAGTTAGCAAAAAGCTATCACACCAAATTAGTTGCCATTGCGTTCTTCAAGTTTTAAACTGTACACAAACAAAATGAACGTAGCTGCAACTTTCTATGGTCTTTTTACGAACTTCATGGACGTGCTCGGACGTGATTTAAAATTTTGAATCATTTCAAAATTCGATGGCGACCATACCGTTCTGTTACTAGATCGTGTGACAACGTACTTCAACTGAGATGACCTAGCTACTTAACTAAGTACGTAATTGCCCTACTTCTACCCTTCAAGGGACGCGTTTACAACCGACATGGTGCGACCTGGACGAACTGCGGATGAGATGGACGTATTGAAGACTGTCTATGAACGAAGTAGCTAATTATCTAGACACATTTCTCGACCACAGCCAGATCTAGACCGTTTTACGACTTTTTCTTATGACTGGAAAGAACGGTTGGGAACTAGTTTGGTGTGATAGGGGGGTTACACTTGATTAATAATCTCTATCTCCAAAATCTTTTTTACCCATAGAGAGATAATTGATTTTATAAAAGTCGAGATCGGGATAAATATTTTCTTTTATTTCTTAAAGTCGAGATCGAGGTTTTCAAATCCCCCAGTTCAGTGTTTTCCGAGTGCACTACTTTGAAAGACTGTGTCCTTGATGGATAAAGGCAAGTTTTCCCAGTACACTACATTGTAACATTGTTAAATTATTTAATAAAGGCAAGTTCTCCCAGTACACTACATTGTAAGATTGTTAAATTATTTAATAAAGGCAAGTTCTTTAAGTACACTACTTTGTAAGATTGTTAAATTATTTAATAAAGGCAAGTTTTCCCAGTACACTACATTGTAACATTGTTAAATTATTTAATAAAGGCAAGTTTTCCCAGTACACTACATTGTAAGATTGTTAAATTATTTAATAAACTGTAATAAAGGCAAGTTCTCCTAGTACACTACTTTGTAAGATTGTTAAATTATTTAATAAAGGCAAGTTCTCCCAGTACACTACATTGTAAGATTGTTAAAGGAGCACGTAGGTTATCGCAAACAATTTCAAAAGTTTTTCTAATTTGAATTATGAATATTTTGTGATCATGAACACGGGTGTAGCTTTTAGATCCATTCATTATCTTCAAGAAAAGTATATATAATGATAATTTAGTTAATCAGACCTAAGTGATATTGAAGGGGCAATGGACCAATCAACATACTTTTTCAAAAATGTTGACCTAATTTTCACCAAAAATGCAACCTATTATTATATTGTTGAATGCATAATTAGAATGTGCTTTGAGACATGATCGATTTCCTAAAAGGAAAATTTGATTGCTCCAGGGACTTTAAAGTGTCTCCCAGTACACTACTACTTTGTAAGATTATTAAATTAATTGATAAAGGCAAGTTCTCCCTGTACACTACTTTGTCAGTTTGTAAGATTGTTAAATTATTTAATAAAGGCAAGTTCTTCCAGTACACTACTTTGTAAGATTGTTAAATTATTTAATAAAAGCAAGTTCTCCCAGTACACTACATTGTAAGATTGTTAAATTATTTAATAAAAGCAAGTTCTTCCAGTACATTACTTTGTAAGATTGTTAAAGTATTTGATAAAGGCAAGTTCTCCCAGTACACTACTTTGGAAATTTGAGACCTTAATGGAAAAAGGCAAGACTGTTCTCCAAGCGCACTTTGTACTATCTTATCTCTAGAAGTACCCAAGATCTCAATCTTACAAAGTTATGTATTGGGGGAACTTTTTTTAGACGCCTGACCTATTTAAAGGGTGATAGAGGAGCATTACATACACTGGCTATCCGATCTGATTTTTCAGATATAAAATATAAAAGAGCCTGATCGTGAACATAACTTGCTCTGGAAAGACAAAAGATCAAGGTTCAGATGAAAGTTCCTTTTCTCAGATCGTTGATAAGAAAGAGATGTTTCGTAACTAATTTTTAACACGGAGAAAATGTATTCTCGTTCCAGTTGTTCAGAAAACATATTTTGATTAGAATATTGAATCCCAACGAATCCATCCCTCATACTTGTACTGTGTTCCAGCAATACTTGTGCTATCAAACCGAAAAGGTGATCATGTATGTAACGTTAAAATTTATTTGAAGTTTTGTACTAGTGTCCCGTCAATTACACGTAATGTGCTTTCCACCAAAATTAAACACATCAACTATCATGCTTTACCAAGTCCATTATAAAGCTGTCACTTTAGGCCGCGTGGGCTCACTGTTCGCCATCGTGTGGATTATTTGGGGCAGATGGCGGGGCAACGGATTGAAACACGTTGGGCACAACAAATAGTTTTATAGCAAGATATCCCCCTCACACCAAATACCAAAAAAGAATTAATAAATTAGAAATTAATGAAAAGCGTGGCGAACGGTGAGCCAACACGGCCTAGCGTGACAGCTAGTTTACGTTGATAAAGTAATGATGCTCAACTTAAAAATACATTTTTTTCATTTAGGTTTCTAGTGTTTAAAATCTATGATAAAGGAAGTCCAATTTTCTGAGCCTGATCCCTCATTGCACTTATAATTCTGTCTTTATATCTTAGCATATGCGTATCAATTTGGTATTCGTTTTTGAATTGTTCACATCTGTTTCCCTTTTTTGTCTTTTCCCATATTTTATGACACGCACGATAATGATAATTAAGTGCAAAATCCGTATTGACAATTACTCTGCCCTTTGACTCATGTGTTTGTGTCCAACAAAAATGAACATGATACCCTATGCAAGAACTTGGCCTTAGAAATGATTTCACGGAGTCATCCGGGTATCTTGCTTTCATCCGGGCTTGATGGCGTAAAGATTTGACGTAGCTAGGCTCAGTCTCGTTCTGGGGTAGATGAGTGTAAAAGAATGCATTTCTGAAGACGTACGATGTTTTATATCCCTCACTGATGTTGTGATTTCTATCGATATTTTTCAACATAGTCGTATAGTCTTGATCTCGCCTTGGGACAATGAACTCATCGGGGTCATTGATAATCATGAATTCACATTTATATAAATTCCTATAAATACAATGGTTATATGAGGGAGGTTGTAATATCCTTATATGGTTCGGGCGATAATGATTGGGTGGGTAGTTTTCAAACATGGCTGGAACCTCTATAACTTCAACAAACCCTTCCTTCATGTAATGTTCTAGCACTGCGGCGGGAATGCGGTCAAGTTCAGTCGTATAAATGAACATTTTTGAGATGCCGAACATTTTTTGAATTTCGAAATTTTCAACGATAAGGCTGGGGTCGAGATTTCCAAAATGACGCTGACATCCACAGAACTTATATAAAGGCTTCCGATAACCTGGCGTCTCTATGGGAAGAAACGTAGTTGGACTTTTCTGCCATGGACCAACAATGGACACGAACTTCGGGCTTTTGTTTGAATTTTGTTGCTTTATTACCTTGCAGGAATAAATGTTCGATCTGAATTGTTTATTTTCAAATACAAAGCGTCGCAAAACGGATGTACGCACTACGTCTGCCTTGACCTTTACGACACGATCGTCGTAGTGTAAATGACACATCATTTCTACGTGTTTAGATTCAGATATGGCAATCACTCTGACGGCTGCCTCGCGGAAATGGTCTTTTAGTGTATCACGGTCATCATAAAATGCAGCTAAAAGATAAACTGTAATATCGCCTTTTATTTTTACCCAATTCAGTCTCTCCGGCCATTTTGCCTTTCCACGTTCTTCTAAAATATTGTGATGGTGTGTATCAGGGGGTAATGAGTTTTCAATGGGGTGAATTACATCTGGGGCTACTCTAATACTTTTCTTCCCTCCCTGGTTTGTTTTGATCCCATCACCTTCGAAAACATCACGATCCTCATCTGCTTCTTGGCTCTCAATGACATTCGCTTTTATCTCAATGCCGCGATCATAGTTATTCTCAGTTGGAATCTGTCTGAACATATCCAGCCCTTTGGACTTCTCTTGTCCATATAAATTCAAAGTTTTGAAGATTAGCAATACTGCAATCATCAGCGACACTTGTAACAGTCGGCTTCTTCTGAATCGCATGGTGATCCTAAAAAGAATAAAAAGTTTTATTGTACAGTACTTTCTAGTTAGTTTTAATCAATTAGGTCACTTGAAGTACATGTTTTGTTCTGCTTCCTGGCAAAACACTAATCACGCAAGGGTACCAGGAAAACAAACACAAACTCCACAAAACACAAATGTGCTTGTAGGTAATGAATTTCTGGCTATAAAAGGTTTTTAATCATAATTTTTTCAAGATGTATATTTTTTGTTCTTGAAAGAAATTTACAAATATTCCGTTGCAGTTTTATCTTTACATTGTTTTTTCAATCAACGCCATCACCATTCAAACGACGTTACCTTGAAATATCAAGACATCATGCTATTCTCATTCTTTTCAAACTTAATTTGGCTGTAATTCACCATTTATTAAGTAGTAAAAATTAATTTGCTCCATGGGTGACAAATTATTTCAAGTTTCCTGGTGAATGTCGAGTCTCACATCATCAGATGTAATTTTAGTTGATCTCTCTGCATGGGGCGAGATAGGATGAATGTTATGAGTATCTATACTTTTACTAATATCACGCCCGGTGATCGTGAATATGGGACGGAGGGGGGGGGAGCAGGCAATTTCTGCTAGGAAATTCAACAAATCTAGAAGATTTATTTTTCAAGAAAAAGTTTACTATTGAATTGCTAAATGGATAGGCGCACGGTATGGTAGAATATGTTAGGTTTTCTGGGATTTTTTCTGAAACGATACGCATCTAAGGTATGAGATCTATTAAAAAAGGCGCAAGGCCATCAACAGGCACAAATCAACGTTTTTGCTATAAATCAAGCAACAATGGTCTGGACGACGTGTAATAAATACTTGTAAGTGATGTTATCATAACTAAATTAATGTCATTGCTGAATTTATAAAATAAGTTTCCATATGTGAAATAAAAAATAATCGAAAATAATGAATTTGGGACGGGGGGGAGGGGACGGAGGGGGGAGCAATATGTATATAAGACATGATTAGAGATGTTTCGCGACTTTAAGTCCTTTTACTCCAAATGTCCCCATTTTTCAGTCTCCAGGGGTATATCATCCAGTTTCTTACTAAGTTAATGAGTTCATTTTTCAAATACAAGAATTCGTGTGAAGTTTATAGAATTATTACTCCCCCCTCCGTCCACTCCCCCCCCCTCCGTTCCATTTTAATTATTTTCGATTATTTTTTATTTTACGTATGGAAACTTATTTTATAAATTCAGCAATGACATTAATTTAGTTATGATAACATCACTTACAAGTATTTATTACAGGTCGTGTAGTCCATTGTTGCTTGATTTATAGCAAAAACGTTGATTTGTGCCTGTTGATGTCCTTGCGCCTTTTTTAATAGATCTCATACCTTAGATGCATATCGTTTCAGAAAAAATCCCAGAAAACCTAACATATTCTACCATACCATGCGCCTATCCATTTAGTAATTCAATAGTAAACTTTTTCTTGAAAAAATTGAATTTCCTAGCAGAAATTGCCTGCTCAATCCCCCCTCCGTCCCATATTCACGATCACCGGGCGTGAATATAACAGTGACCTTTACATACAGTACATAGACAATACTGATAACTAACTTTGAACACGAGGCCATTGGCTCTTAAAAAGTCTAATAATACCCAAGCCATTAAAATAAAATAAAATACGCGTTTGATATGCTATTTTATTTTCAGCCGTAGTAATGCTGTCAACACTGACAGTAATTGTTATTGCCATTTTTGGAATATGCCTACTACCATGTAACATAACATAGAAAAAGTGATAACCAACTTTCACCACATTACCTGTCATAAATACACCCCCAAACTCTGCTTCAAAGGGATTACCCACCCATGACAAAGAAGGTATCTCACCAACTACCAACAAGAGACCCTCTAACAAAGCAGCTAAAGTTGCTCCAAAGAACCCCCTAAGCCAACACCAAGGGAATTCAACAATGGTCACAAGCAGCTTGAATGAATTGTAAGTCTATTATCTATATTATACTATTATTTTTAGATACTGAACCCCAGCCATGTTGATTCACTAATGCATCAGAGAGGCGTAGCCATCTTTCAGTGAGGGGGGATTGCGATCGCAAAAAACGGTTTTCAGTCATGTCCTGGTCACATTTGCTCCGATTTTTGCTACGGCGCCCGGCCGATTGAGTATTTTGTTCAAAATTTAATACAATATTGAACAAAACATTCAATCGGCCGGGCGCCGGCCGATGGATCGGAGCAAATGTGACCCAGGCATCAGGGACGTGCAATCGTGCCATAAGAAACCCCAAAAATTGAATATTTGTTTTGAATTTTAGAAACATTGATGCAACTTCCTTCAAAATTGAGCTAGAAGCTACAAATTAAAAGCATTTTAAAGCTCTTCTTATATCTAAAAGTTATATTTCCCTTGGTTATTGGGGGGGGGGGGATTGGGTCATCTCATTTTAGCCTCATGTAGTAAGCCCCAAATGAAGGTTCTTTCAATGTTTCGCGAAGTAGATGATGACGGATCATGGCCGAACCACAACATTACATGTATTCATGTGCCGTCAGCGAACTTATTCGTCGATTCTTAATTTACAAATAGTCAAAACAAGTGATATTAGCACAGTGACGGTTAAGTAAAAGATCATCATACATGGGCATATATCAATATTATTCACAAGATGTGGTTTGAAATGTCTTAACCATTATCTAGCTATGGCAGCCCGCTGTTAGAGCCCATTACAGGCAGGAATACAGTCATGAAATGTTTGTAAGGGTTAAGAGATGAACTAAGGTTGTATTCGCAAATGCAACTAACGCCTGTCGGCTACCGGATTCACCTATATGGGCTAAAGTCTGAATATTTTCATTCCAAATTTCAAAATAAATTCAAACGAGAGGATATAGTCTACAATCTGTTAAACTGTTGCAAAGGCAAACAGTTGAACCTGAAATAAGAATTCTATAGACTATTGTGCCGTGACACACTTGTATATATATATTCATATTGCACACGAATGGAATTTTGCTACAGTCCTCCATTGAGTATCATGTTATTTTTCAAATAGGAATCACTCCTTCCCCACATTGTCTATCTACATCTTTCAGTTTTGCACAAAGAGTGCACTCGTGTGCCTAGAAAAGACTGTGAAAACGTTTTTTTTGTAAAATGTATAAAAACGAGAAAATTCAGTGAGACAATTGAGTGACATTTTGTCACTGAATTTTCTCGTTTTTTATACATTTTACAAAACAAATCTTCTCACCAATCCTGTCTAGGTTCATAAGTGCACTCTTCGCCCAAAACTGATAGATGTAGGCAATGTGGGGAAGGAGTGATTCCTGTTTGAAAAATAACATGTGACTCAATTGAGGAATGCAGCAAAATTCCGAACATGTAGTTTGACCTTACCAGACTGTAGCCTCGTCCCGATATTTTTTGTTCCGTGACATTCCTACAGTTTTCAATAACTTTATTAACTCTTACCGTTGTTGAAACAGAAATGAAGATCATCCGTAAGTGATGCTCATTGTATAGTTGTTTTGTTTCCTTTGACCAACTCCTGAGCAAAAATTAATTGGTGAGGTTTTGATGAGGATTTCACAAAAAGCATTTTACTCTCAATAACAGGCAAATCTTCCGGTACGATCCCGTGATCTATGACTGCAGAAAATCCGGCATGACTTTGAACTTTTCACTTGCAGAATTCGCTAGTTGCACTTGCATAACCCCTAATTTCAATTTGCAGAAAACTATGAGTGAACGGTCGTTTTATCCTTGATACTTACCAGTAATATAGGCTATTCCAGATTGTCATTTGTCGTAGATTTCCGATTTCCGGGACAGTTGCGGAATCACATGCAATTTATCCTTGTAAATACGTTGTCTTGCTTATACATTTACAACTAACCAAACTGACACACTCCAATATATACGTGTATATGTAAACACAGAGCTTTGAATTATACATGTACATATACAGTGTACCACATCAGTGATCATGGTCACGCCGTGCTCACAATCTGTGACCAGTGAGTGGATATTAATTCGTGGCTTATAACCCACTTATAATAAAATATTTTTTCGTGAAGCCACTCAGTAAAATTACGATTTCTTTACACCCTGATGTCCAATCAACATCATTCGAGTATCTATATGTACCTGATACGTTTGGGCATCCGGGAATGACAACGCCTTCCCAAAGTTTGCACGCTATATTGACGTAATTCATGACTGAAATCGGGATGAAAAAAATTGAGATACACAAACAAAATTGCTTGTGAAAACTACAAAGGTTTTCCAGAGACTATAATCTACGTGGCTGAGGCTTTATTTGAAGATACATTGCCGTATTAAGCAGGTTGAGGGGTATATAAAACACGGAAGCAAATGCCATATTGAAAAGGTTCTATATTACAGTTCGAACATGTTAGTACATGTCTCGCAGGCCAGTGTTTTGGATAGGGATTAGTTGTACTTTATTTATTCATGCCTGGGTCACATTTGCCCCTATTCATCGAGAAAGAGTCGAAGGCATGCGAGGCGATTCCTGGAAACCCAATGTGAAAGAAATTATGGTCCAGGGATTATGGTCCCATTTCCTTACGGCCCTTACTGGCCCTGACTGTGTATGAATAATAAGGAAAATAATTGTAATTAGGTCAACATATAAATCAATAGAGAGTAGGACCAAAATTTGATAGGACCACCTACCCTTTTACACCTGGTTCAGGAAAGCAGGGTTCGGTGTTTGTTTCCGTTGACACCTGTGCGAAACTCACTGCGAAGGTCATTGCCGTTACCGTCGCATTCAAGATGGCGGACGAAAATTGTCGATTTCGACGATTTTAGTTTTCATTGAATTAAGCCACTTTACATGTGACATAATGCTTTTATATTTGAACCAAATCATGCTTAATATGACTTGGAAACATTGGAGTATGATCATTTGTTCATATGTCGTGCGTGGGTGCCACATTTCAACGATAGATTCTACATGCGTGACTTAAATTTTACCTGTCAGAGCTTCGATATCCGGGCACTTACACTAATTTGAAAATATCTATCGTCTGCACGTGTATGCGTTGGCTTCCGTGTAAGTTTAACATCATGTTTACTCCGAAAGAGCAGTTATCACGGTGTTATAGCATGACGGTTACGTCAAGGTGATTTGCAAAATTTTGCGGTAACGATAACAAAAATGGCGCATGGGAAAGACAGCATGTCCTCTTTCTCGCCTGTAGCCAAGATTCACAGATAGGATTTCCTTTTCAACTAGTTCCACTCGTGATAGAGACTGGGTCAAATTTGCCAGGTGGTTTACTAGAAGCAGAATATGTAAACTTACCGACTGAGATATCCAAGTTCATAAGTTTTAGTCCATTCTCGTGATTTCTCAGTATACGAGGCCCGATCAGAAAGTAAGTAACCAAGTGCTCTTATTTTTCCATACTTTATTCAATCACATTGAAATTTTCACAGATGATGTAGAAAATATTGACCTATTAAACAAGATCAAAGGAAATAGGCTTGCGTCAACTGCATTGTTATGGCTGTTGCTATGGTGACAATTGTTTTGGGTAGACGGGGCACCCTTTTGTAAGTGACGTTTGAAGAAACTTTGTAGAGTTTTTCTACATGCTGTTATACCCCCAAATATATCAAATATGCATGTATGACTACATTTTAATTCCTAGTTCTCCCAAAATAATCGCTACCAAAGTCAATGCAGTTAAGGCAACGTTTCACTCTGTCCTTAAAGACGTGCATCAGGTCACCATTCAATGGCTGCAAACTGTCATTGAAAGCTTTAATGACGACTTCATTGCTGTCAAAAACGGATTCCATGTACGTAACGACATCTTTGCATTTGGAAAGAGGTACATGTATTAGTCGCATGGGGCCAGGGGTGGGGACTAGGGAGCCTGGGGAACTTGTGTGGCCATGGAGAAGGCTTCATCAACTGCATCTTCGGTAATGTGAGCTCTTTGGGGTGGAGCATTGTCGTCAAGCCAGGAAAATCCCCTTTCAACCACATTTGACTTGACTGAAACTGTGACTGAACTGTGGCCATCATTATGACACATATGTCCTTGATTTCTTTGTGTCGATGACTCATGAATGAGACAATGGAATGTAGTTACTAATGTGATAATCACATAAAACATATTATGCAGTCTTGCATAAAAATGTGAGGTCATCAAAAAAACTCTAAAAATTATCTTCCAAGCCCGCTTTCAAAAGGGTGCCCCGCCTACTCAAAACAATTGTCACCATAGCAACACACATAACAATGTAATTGAAGCTAATCCATTGTCATTGATCTTATTTAATAGGTTAATTTTTCTGCATCATCTGTGAAAATTTCAATGTAATTGATTAAAATATGAAAAAATGAGAGCAGTTGGTTACTTACTTTCTGATCGGGCCTCGTATGTGTCTCAGAGCCACCCTAACTAACTGTAAGTAAATTGTGTATAAACAAGCGATAAAATAACAAATCCAGAACAGGAACGTGGTGTATATTGTAAATAATAAGGTTTCAAACGCAATGTCGTAAGACGACTACGTATGAATTCTATGGACGGTAACGTATTGTATTAGTCGTACATTAGATATTTAGCGGACGGTTACGAGCATGTACACCTTTCAAGTCAAGGTTGTTAGTTCTGATAGCCTCTTTCCATGTCATTGTTATAAAGGTAAGAAATGCAATATTGAATTGCTTATATTTGTTTTCAGGACTCGCAAGAGACGCTCTTGTTTAAGCCTCTATAGGGCAAGGAAAATTGTGTCTTGCTTTATTTATGAAACCAATGAGAGTCAAAAAGATAGCAATGAAGAGGCAAATGCAGAATTAGCATCAAGTTCTGATGAATATGACAAAATTAATACCAATGAATCGGGGATACATATTTGAACGAGGTTCGCGTAACCGTTCATCAATTTTGCGTAACCCGCAAATTCAAAATACATTATTATGGCTTGAGTAGAACATATTATGTGGTTTCCAATGCTCAATTGGCTTTTTATGATCGTATGTAGATTACATCTTTATATCCCGAGGTCGTTAGGCAATGGAGACCATGCGCTAACGACAAAAATAAACAAATTACTAAATTTTGTGTAGTTTTGAATTTCAAACTCAACAATTTTTCGCTTATTTCATGTTATCCCCGGGTATCAAGACTATGTTCAAAATATACATTATTAAATGCATCACCGAATGCGATGCTTACATAAATCGTTTATCCTTTCATTGATACACAGTAGTAGAAAATAATGCACCAACCTTAGTTTTCTGATCCACCGCGGCCATTTTATTGGATAAATCAGTGAACGTAGTCGTCCAACCTCGTGTTCATGATCAGAGGTGGCGTAACCGTCATGCTATAGCAGGGTGGTCATGCTTATATCAAGTAATAGTTGTATTTAATTTCGTGTGGCTGCATTTCATTTGTAACACGATTTGCTGCTGATAGTGTCGTTAGAACAACCGTTAAATGTCAAGGTAAGAACCTGAATTTAAATAATCGGACTGACAATTCAGTGTTCATTCGCCTTATTCTGACCTTTGGCTTACACGTACATTTGCATGAGCACAGTGAAAATAATATATAGTTTGTAACCCATTCAGTACATTATTTTAATGCTTGCGTTCTCTAATCTCAGAATGATATTGTCCGACATAAAAAGAATAGCATACAGACGTACATACACACGTATTTTCTCGTGAACATTTGTACCAACGTGAATTTGAACATTCTGTGTTCCTCTTTGCTTTTGTGCGTTCGTTTCGTGCGTTTGGTCGTTTATACGTGGTTCCTACGTTCGTCTTTCATTCGTTTGTTCCTACGTTCGTTTGTACGTACACTACACTCGTGAGCCTGTTTATGACCCCAAACTAGTTCTCAGCCGTCCTTAGCTTCTTCGTTCATGAATAGACAATGAGTCTTCCATACGTTCAGGTCGCACTGCGTCGTTGTGCTGCGATTGATATCCTATAGCACAATCAGAATTCAAGTATTTTGTTTATGGATACTGTTGTCATGAATTTCGTTCCTACATGTACCACGGGTAGTATCCAAACCCCCGCTATGATTTCAAAGTCGCGAGCAAGTTCCCGCTAAAATCGCGAGCATCCTGTTTATTTGCATCACTTTGGAAAATGGACCAAAAGGGTGAAAATACTTATTACTGTTCTTCCATACTCCAGCAATACTTTAAAAACAGATACATTTGACAAACAATGACATAAAAAATGATTCTTCTTCACTGGCATTGAAAAGAGGGGCGTCAACATGCAAGTTTGCATAATTTACTGTTCATATATTACTTTTATCGTTAAAACAAAGGCAATAAATACGATCTACATACTGCATAATACATATTGGATCTATATGGTCTGTATTGATAAGTAACTGTGCAATTACGTCTGCCATGGGGGTCGAAATACATCATTAAAGGTGTTCCAGTGGGCCCGCTGAAAACATGAGGAGGTCCCGCTTCGATCGCGAGGAAAGCTTCATTATTATTCCATGAAGATATTGAGTTTCTTTGTATGAACTTACAAGAACGTGCCAATAACGTATTAATACCATTATAACATATCAATGGCAACATCGCAACTATTTCTTCTGCAACTTCAGGCAGTTTGATCCATCTGTCAGCGTCGTCATGAAATAAAATTCTTAAATGTGTAAACAGACTTTGTAAATTTGTACAGATAAATGTAAATTCTATATAATTCTATGTTCCAAGGAATTTCTGAGGACACATATATTTCATTGACTTGTTTGTTCTTCTGACCGTCCATTCTTGCATGCGTTCGTCCGACCGTTCGTTCGTTCGTGCATGCGTTCGTCCGACCGTACGTTCGTGTGTGCGTTTGTTCGATCTTCCGTTCGTTCGTTGGTGCGTTCGTTCGAAATTCGTTCCCTCAGGCATGCGTTCGTCTGACCGTTTGTTCGTTCGTTCGTGCATTCGTGCGATAGTCAAATCGTCCATTCGTGCGATCGTCAAACCGTCCGTTCGTAACAGCGCCCGTGGGTCCAATCGTTCATTCGTGCGTTTGTTTGTCCCAGCGTCCGTTTTGGCGTTCGTCCGTCCGATCCTTAGCGCGTGCTTGCGTTCGTCCGACCATTCATTCGTTCGAGTGTGCGTTCGTCCGACCGTCCGGTCGTTCGTACGTGCGTTTGTTCTACCGGCTGTTCGTTCGTCCGTCCGTTCATGCGTGCGTTCGTCTGGCCGTTTATGCGCGTGTTTGTCTAGCCGTCGGTTTGTGCGTTCAAACGACCGTTCGTGTGTGCGTGGGTACGTTCGTCTGACCGTGTGTGCGTGGGTACGTTCGTCTGACCGTTCATTCATGTGTGCATTTATTCGTGCATGCCTTAGTTCGTGCGTGCGTCCGTGCGAGGGTTCGTTCGTTATTTGTTGGTAAATACTTTTTGCATTCGTTTGTGCGTTCGTTCATTTCTGAAAAGGGAAGGAAAATGTGAGTGAGTTAGTGGGTGGTTGAGTGAGTGAATGAGTGAGTGAGTGAGTGAGTATCTAAGTTGGCAACAGGAGATTGAGACAAAAATCGTATAACTGAACATTTTTCTGACTTAATCGTTTCAGCTTACGCATGAATCTTACAAAATATCGACTTGTACTCATAAATGATGGAATTCCACTTACTTTTCAAACAGTTGAATTGATTAGATTTGATGCGTAAAATCAACAACATTTATGTTCACATCGTAATTATGAAAATGAGGTTAAACTTTTAACATTTCTTCCGACCTAATTCTCATCACATTTTTCCATTACAACGTACACTCCCCTCCATAAGTTTGGCAACCTTTTTTCCTCATTGAACTACGTGTTAAAGCCTCTTTACCTTTGAATTTTTATTTACTTAACCTGCGATTGAAATACTTATACTATTGATGGAAACGTAATTTGACTTTAATTCCAATACCTCCAAATTTTCTCAATTTTTTTTCTCAATTACAATAGGTCGAAAATTGATGATAAATTTGATGAATTTTTGAAAATCGACATTCCCATGTTAACCAATGGGAAATGGTAGGTGTGCCGCAAGTCATATGACAGAATATCCATCCATCCGAGTCCTTGCAAAAAATACGAGTTAGGCAGGCAATTGAATTTGCTAACTTTATTTAACAAAAAATTGATATGTTTCTTCAGGTTCAACAAAGTTATAGGGCTTTAAAGTCAAAGTTGTTTTTCAAAAAAACTCTCCCATTGAAATAACACAGGAGGCGAAAAATTATTTTCAAAAATGACTTTGGAGCACTGTAACTTTTATATTCATCAAATAAACTAAACACTTAAGTGTTTTAAAAAGTTAGACAATTCAATTTTCTATATAAAAATATTTTTTGCTGAATCTTTTACTGAAAAGATATCCTGATTTCTGATTTGCCCCGAACCCTCCATTTCCCATTGGATTACATGGGAATGACGATTTTCAAAAATTCATCAAATCTATCATCAATTTTCGACCTATTGTAATTGAGGAAAAAAATTGAAAAAATTTGGAGGTATTGGAAATAAGGTCAAGTTACGTTTCCATCAATATCATAAGTTATTTCATCGCCGGTTAAGTAAATAAAAATTCAAAGGTAAGGAGGCTTTAACACGTAGTTCAATGGGGAAAAAAGGTTGCCAAACTTATGGAGGGGAGTGTATCATAATATGTACTATATCAATACAGTATTTGCTGTTTTTGAGAATTGTATCAACAAATGATGTATTCATGAAACTGGGTAAATAGTGGATCAAGCTGGGTACGATAGTTGGAGATTTTCACGGTATAATCGATTCATTCCATTTTTGAGAGACACTTGCTCCTGTTTTCAGCGGGACCTCCTCATGTTTTCAGCGGGGCCTCCTCATGATTTCAGCGGGGTCTTTGCCTTTTTTGCTTCGCTAGAAGCTGGGCCTTGAGAGATATGATAAAATTGAAATATAAAGTGTTCTGTAAAGCTTTAGGAAGTGAAACTCAGTACATTTTGATTTCAAATCACTACCGTTATTTCAACCACAGGACAACGTCGTTCTTCACCTATAACGTATAGAAATATATAGATAATGATTCAAGATGATACTTTTCTCTCTTCAATTGTCAAATAAAGAACCACAGAACGACCGCTCGTGATACTTTTTTCCATCAGTTGCCTTTTCAGTCTCAATACCGTGTAATCATTGCGGAAAATTAAAAAGAAAACGTTTTGTACATCATACAATTCAAGTAAACAAAAGACAACCCATCATTTTTTTATTCCTCGCGATTTCAGCGGGAACTTGCTCGCGACTTTGAAATCATAGCGGGGCTTTGGATACTACCGGTGATGTACGTTAGCTTACATTTTATCATTGATTCATGCATTTTTAATGATGATTGGGATCTACAGTGCGCCAATGGAAACGTCTATCCAAAACTTGGGCTAAGGTCAAAAATATCAAAAATGAATTTAACTCTGACCCTAAGACCATGATTATGTGTGCCAAAAACATAAAAAAATCAAAAAATGAATTCCATAAATACTGAATAAACTCGTGTGTCAAATAAATAATAAAAAAAGAATTCCATCAATACAAACTTGTGTGTCATAAATCAAAAAAAAAAGAATTTAACCCTAAGCTACCCGCTGAGGACACAGGACGCGTACCAGACCCTAATGATACAGGGTCCACCTGGCAGGAGCGGCGATAGCGTACCAGACCCTCGGGTCCACTTAGCAAGAGTGGCGTTTGCGTACAATGATCCTGTATATTATAAATAGGGATAATGAAAGATGTACAAATTAATACCCAAATCCTATTAAATACGTGTAATACCTTCAATTAATTAATAATAAACTAGTAATAATAGATAATAAACAAATGACCCGTGGTTTGGCAGAATCCTTCTATAATTAATTAACCAAGTCAATAAACTTTTGCTCATCTGTTCGGAATCCTTTATGGCGTAATTACGTGCAGGTGTGTGTTTAAACTTAATTTTAACATCAATAAAAGATTATACAAAAATTACAAATGATAATTGATAAATATTAGCATTCAGTTAACCGTGTGAATACGTAAAATGCGGAATACACCAATAAATAAGGTATTACTCGCCAAAATATGATCACCAAACCAAAATATATACAAAACAAACAAATAACCCTACAAGGGACTGTTCTAGTGCCTCCCTATCGTGCGCCATTCTCATACAATTTAAACATTTTTATCAATTTGTAAATACTTAGGCTAAATTGTTTAAAACAATCGTTAAAATTAGTCAAATATTCCATATTTATGAGTAACTATGTATATTAACATTAATACAATGAATAACCTGCAGCTCAACTCCACATGCTGTTTTGAAAATGGTATATATTAATAAGAAACGTGATTCTAAGATCTCAGAACATCTCGAAGACGATCAGCTCTGGAACTATGAGGAACAAGAGAAAAAGGCAGAGTATTCTACCTATGACTGTGTTGGTAGTAATGTTGTTCTATTTCACACATTACGCGCAAGTAAAGCATGCCCAAGGTTCAGCATTGGAAAGAAGTAGATACAGCAGATCAACTGATCAAATTCATGATAATATCGATATTGTTGATGCTGAACGTGACGAAAAAAATTATGAAGTCGATCCCGAACGTGACACAACAGCAGATCCAGTGGATGTCAAGCGTGATGCACCAATTGATCGAGTAGTCGATCCTGAACACGTTGAAACAATTCATCATCCTGAACGTGAATCAACAATTGTTGAAGTTGATCCTCAAAATGACACAATAACTGATGCAGGTGATTCTGAACGTGACTCAACAATTGATCTAGTCAATACCGAACGTGACACGGTAATTGATGAAGCCGATCCTGAACGTGAGACGACAATCAATCCAGTTGATCCGGAACGTGAAATAACAATTGATTCTGTTGGTCCAAAACGCGTCAACGTAGCTGTCGATGAAGTCCATCCCGAACGTGACACGGTAATTGATGAAGTCGATCCTGGACGTGAGACGACAATCAATCCAGTTGATCCTGAACGTGAAATAACAATCGATTCCGTTGGTCCAAAACGCGTCGACGTAGCAGTCGATGAAGTCCACACCGAACGTGACACGGTAATTGATAAAGCCGATCCTGAACGTGAGACGACAATCAATCCAGTTGATACCGACCGTGGAACAACGATTGATTCGGTTGATGCTGAACGAGACCCGACAATTCATCAAGTCGATCCTGCTCATGAGGCGACAATCAATCCAGTTGAACATGAGACAGTAATTGATTCAGTTGATCTCGAATATGATTCGACAATTGGACCATTCTTTTCTGAACATGGCCCAACAAGTGATCCTGGACGAAACGGTACATTTCATGCATTTGGTCTTGCAGACGATGAAGTTACCGTTAGTCTACTCGATGATGAGACTGTAACTGGTACTATCAATACACTGGAAAACCTGACAACTCGTGCTGGAGCTTTAGAAGACATTAACAGCTGCGGTGGTGACATCTCTACTTACACGTGCATGGAGAATACTTGCAGAGGAAGATGTGGGCAGATGAACAATTACACGAATGCCTTTTGGCTCTGCTCTTGCGATGCGGCGTGTCTCGTCTATGGTGATTGCTGCAAGGACTATAACGATGCTTGCGGCAACCGTACATTCAACATTGAGATGAAGGAACCATTCGTTTGCAAACAAATAGGACCTGGTCAATACGTATACATGAAGCAATCCTGTCGACCCGACTTCACTGATGTAGATGTCATTCAGAAGTGTTACGAGGAAAGTGGTTTAGAGGGTGCCATTCCAGTGACGGATGGACTGACAAACGTTGTTTATGTCAACTATTTTTGCGCTATGTGTAACATGGCCAGTGAAAACGCTGTTCCTTGGAAAATAGAGATGCGTTGTCAAATGCAGTATCCCCCACAATTACCCGTATCAGACAGTGCTTATTTCATCGATTTGGTAAGTATGGTTCAGGAATCAGGTAAAGCGTGTTTGGTTTCAAAAGCTCAAAGTGATGACGGTTTAAATACGCAACGACCCTGTATTTCTATTTCAACTCTTCAATGTAGCATGAGTTGCAAAGATGATGATATTTTAGAAGCTTGCAAAACTGGAATTCGAGATCCACAAACTTTCAAAATGGGAGGTATAATTGCAAGAAATGCTTATTGTCTTCAGTGTCTTAATCGGGTCGAAAGTCGAGACTGCGGACGTTATTTGCCAAACGAAGGCAGTAAGATATCCAACTTCTTTGCTTACTCCGTATTGGTTGATGTGATCAGTGATTCTGGTTCCGTATTGCAGATCAAGGGAGATTCGAGTATCGTGGGCGTTGACTCTGTTATAAAGGTGAACGGCACAGAGATGAATATGATAAAATGTCCCAATCGGTTTAAACTTGTCAAAAACGAATGCGTGTTATATGAGACACAATTAAAAGTTTTCTGTAAAATTCCAACAGGAAGCAACGCTCAAAACACAAAAGCGCTCGTGACAAAGGTTATTACAGAAGCCTACGACATCATTGGTATTCTTTATGTAAAGGCTCAGTCTGATGGTTTCATGCATTGTCACTTCTTTGTCCCCGCGCTGCAAAATGAAACATTTGATTTGAAGACTAAGTTTGATCACAATGAGAAAATCCTCCGGCGATCTTTTCCTCCTGTCGATTCAACTTCACCAGAACGCTATTGTATATTTGATGATGATGAGACCGAAATGTCTCGCGCTAATCTGGTTGAACACCAATCGGTAACACCAGAGACACCACACTTGTCTAATGGAAACGGTCGTATTACGAATGCTGGAACCAGGCTCTTGTCAGGTTTGTATGGAGTCGTTTCTGCCTCGCTCGTTTTTCGCTTTCACCGACCAATTTAACGCTAAACTAAACTTGTATTCGCGAATGCAACAGACGGCTAGCGGCTACCGGATTAAGCTACTAGTTTATGACTAACTCATTTAGATATGAATGGAATAGTGACAGGTACTATTCATATTTAAATGAATTGCCCATAAAATAGTAGGTTAGTCCGGTAGCCGACAGGCGTTAGGTGTGTAATGACCTGACCCGTTTAATCATTGTTAGCGAGCGGGAATAGATCAGGAAGTTACTATAAAAAATATATGAGAGTTCAAGTGCAACATTCAAGCTACCATTGTTGTGTTATGCAATCTGTTAATAATGTCAATCTAGCGACATAATAGTATAATAAACTCTCCTCAGCAAATAACTCACATAAAAACAAGCATGTTAATTTCTATAACTATATAAAACAAAAGTAATTTATTGGTCCTTTGTACAAAATGGTGTCAGAAGCGTTGGGATCTTTCATTGTTGTGGCATTGCTTAAAAGCATAAAACAAGCATATTTCGGTCCAAAAAAGTTTTGAAGTCATGGCTGGCAGACTGCGTGATCAATTGTCTCCGAGGGTATCCGGCCTCCAACCATTTTATGGAGGAGGTCGTTAACAAAAAACGAAACTACCATGCTGGAAACTTTTGTTAAAATATCGACCTGTGTAAAATTGCGCACTGTTTGCAATAACACTTTGGGCAATAACCTAATTTTGACACAAATGTTTATGCATCTGACAGCAGACTGTCAGAAAGGTGCATCAAACAAACTGTTCGATGGTACCGGTGCTGTTCAAAAATGTACATCTTGATATAGTCATTTATTGGATGATATTCATCTGTAGACATTTAAAACCCATATTTCATATCGGGTCATAGTATCTATGACCTGAATTCAAGATTGGTATAGAATTCATTTTATACTTAAGCATTTGTACACATGATCTTGAGAATATACCTTACTTCATGCTGTATTTAAGTACTGGTTTTATCACCCTCTCGCACCATTGTTCAGTGTACAATTTCCTCCTTAAATAATGGTTCAAATAAATCAAACGTGTCCACTTATCGGGGAGAAAAGTATTGCACTTTAGACCTGCCAAATAACCATATTTTTCATTGTAATTTTCTGTCAAATTTTCATGTTTTACATAAAAAATGACAAACAACCTTACAGTATTTTTACTAAAAACTTCCTGATTTATTCCCGCTCGCTAACAATGATTAAACGGGTCAGGTCATTACAGTTGCATTCACGAATACAAGCTTAATTTGATTGAGAAACCCTTTGTTAGTCATGAATCATATCTAACCTTAAATGCAAGTCTTGCAAATATCAACACACAATGGTCTTTCGTGATTTCATAATATACATTTGTCAGTCTTGTGAATGTAGTACAAAATGGCCTTTTTTATTCAAAAAACATGTAAGCCCTGTAAAGGAGCACGTAGGTTATCGCAAACAATTTCAAAAGGTTATATCTTGGATTATGACTATTTTCTGACAATGAAGACAGGTTTATCTTTTAAATCAATTCATTATCTCAAAGAAAATTATATACAGTAATAATAAAGTCAAACAAACTCGGAGATATTTAACTAGCAATCAACCCATCAACAGTGATTCAACACACTTTTCAAAGATGTTGACCCCATTTTCACCAAAAATGCAATCATTTTTTACAATGTTTAATGTATTACTATTTTTTATTTTGATGTATCAAATAGTTCTTGAAAGAACTGTATTGCTTTAAGATAAGTGTTCCCCATGTTATTACTCCATTGAAAAATCTCATGCTATCCATTGGTTTCAGTTCATTTTGGTCATCCAAATTCATCTTTAAAGTCCCTGGAGCAATCAACTTTTTCTTTTAGGCAATCGAACATGTCTCAAAGCACATTCTTATTGTGCATTCAACAATATAATAAAAGGTTGCATTGTTGGTGAAAAATTAGGTCAACATTTTTGAAAAAGTATGTTGATTGGTCCATTGCCCCTTCAATATCACTTTGGTCTGAATAACTAGATTATCAATATATATACTTTTCTTGAAGATAATGACTGGATCTAAAAGCTACACCCATGTTCATGATCAGAAAATATTTATAATTCAAGTTAGAATCGTTTGAAATTGTTTGCGATAATCTACGTGCTCCTTTCAGTACAAAATCATATGATTTTAAATGCAAGTCTTGCAAATATCAGCACAAAATGGTCTATCGTGATTTCATATATACATGAACATTTGAAAGTCTTGTGAATGTCAGCACAAAAATGGCCTTTTTGATTTAAAAAAACATGTAAGCCCTGTAAATGTCAGTACACAATCATATAATTTTAAATGCAAGTCTTGCAAATATCAGCACAAAATGGTCTTTCGTGATTTCATATACACATTTGTAAGTCTTGTGAATGTCAGCACAAAAATGGCATTTTTGATTTAAAAAAACATGGAAGCCCTGTAAATTTCTGTACAAAATCATATGATTTTAAATGCAAGTCTTGCAAATATCAGCACAAAATGGTCTTTCGTGATTTCATATATACATTTGAAAGTCTTGTGAATATCAGCACAAAAATGGCCTTTTATATTAAAAAAAACATGTAAGCCCTGTAAATTTCAGTACAAAATCATGTGATTTTAAATGCAAGTCTTGCAAATATCAGCACAAAATGGTCTTTCGCGATTTCATATATACATTTGTAAGTCTTGTAAATGTCAGCACAAAAATGTCTTTTCATGAGAAATATGAACCTGAAACTGTAGAGAATAGTTTAAACAAGAGAATGCTAGAATGCTCAAGTATTGTCTCTGTAGATAATCTGACATGTGAGTATGAACATGTGGGTATGAACATGTGAGTTTGAACATGTGTAACTAAATTTTCTGTATTTGGTATATAATGCAATATTTATGGCTCAATAAATCACATCTTCTTATTCTTTCATATAGTCTTTTTATTTTGAATACATATAGGTGTAGGACGGTGCGAAGCTTTAAAAGGTGAGGCTTTGAAAAGGTAAGGCCAAACTAAAACAATCCTCCGATCCAAGTCCGGTGTAAAAGAAATTATGGTCCCCTGGGATTATGGTCCACTTTCCTTACGGCCCTTACTGGCCCTGACTGTGTATAAATAATAAGGAAAGTAATAATTGTGATTAGGTCACCATATAAATCAATAGAGAGTAGGACCAAAATTTAAAGGGACCACCTACCCTTTTACACCTGTATGGATTTTGAACACCTGCTAAATAGAATATATCCTAAAGCCAAAAAAGAAAACTAGTATGTCATTTTCAATTTTTTGAAAAAGTCAAAAGTATTTTGCCATAAAGTTTTGGTTTGTTTGCTTCATAATCTTAACTATGCATTTGTTGAGTATCATATCATTGGCGGATCTGGGGGGCTGCCCCCCCCTTGGGCGGGTCCAGAAAAAAATTGGGCCGAAAAAAGATTTTGGGCGAAAAAAGGCTTAAATGACCCAAAAAGACCTCTTTGGTCATAATTTGGCCTTTTAAGACCTTATTTTTTAATTTTCAGGCCAAATTGTGATGAAAATTGGCCTCAAAATTTCAAAATTTGGGGCCACTTTTGGGTTGTAAGGGCCCAATTTTTTTCCGGAAGTTTTTTTTTCCCTGACCTGAAATTTGCCCCCCCCCCGCTCTTGTTGGTTCCCAGATCCGCCTCTGCATATTAAGAAAAGTCTTTTAATTAAAGTCGGTACAATCAATTTGGACATCAATGAATTGGAGATGGTAGCCAATCACTTGAGTATAGAGGAGTGTACGAAATTATCTGAAGAGTAACATGTACATATGACACATTTTAGACTGGAACGGGGAACTAAGTCCTCTACATGTAGTACCAAGACTATCTCTACGTTCTAGTCCTGCGCGCATACAATAGAGACCTACCACCCTTAAGGCTTCCTGGTCATCTCAATCCCAAGTCAACTCAACCCATTAAAACTCAACCCCAGTAAAACTCAACCCCAAGTCAACTCAACCTAGTAAAACTCAACCCCAGTAAAACTCAATCCCAAGTCAACTCAACAGTAAAACTCAATCCCAAATCAACCCAATCCCTGTAAAAACGAGATCATTGGCTCAAAACATTTGCTGACAACTGTCAGTGTGTCCCGTTAGATGCAGATGTCGACTCCGGGGTTGAGTTGAGTTGAATTCACGATTGTTTGCAAATGGACCTAGGATTCTATAATAAGATATACAATTAAAATCTAATTGTATGATTGTAACAGCAGTGTTTACGACGTGGTGAGGCTATTTAATACAAAAATACGTTTTACCAATAGATGACAATGAGACATAAATACATATGATACGTTTTAGCTTCGTAATAATCTAAGCTTTATCACATGGTAAACACTGTTTCAATCACTGAGTTTAATATAACTGATAAAGTTGTTAAGAAGAATCAAAAATAGGACCCTCGGTCCTGTGCTCACACAGTTTGGAACCTTCCGAGGAATGTATATCCTGACTTTCAAACAAAAATATTGATTTAGATTTGTAGTCTCGAACTTTGAGAAACTTAGATAGCACAGTTGTGTGACCTAGTTTGATGACCTTTGACCTTGAAAATTTTACTTATTAAGAGCTCAGTAAGGTCTTTTGTGATTAAGCTGACCAAAATTAACATCCAAAAATCAATTTGAAAAATCAACTTTTTTGACCTTTCAAAGGTCACTGAAGGTCAAGAAAAGGTCAAATTCTAGACATAATGTCAGATTTGAGTCCTACTTTTTGTCAAATTTTATAGAGTTAACACCAAAAACTGTTATTCCAAGAGCTTTGAAATCTTCAGAGGACATAAGTTGCATATACAGCAACTACTACAAGTTATTTGAAAGTTCTAATTCAACAAAGTGTCTAGTATTTACAGAAAATTTGACTTTTTGACGTCAAAATCAGCACTTTCTCGGAAACCGGGCGAACTTGGGAAATGGCGATGATAGGTCAAATAGGCATTATGGATATGCATAAAATGACTGTGGATATGACTCAATCCGAATAGCAGTTTTAATTTGTGCGGCCAATGTTGACGGACGGACGGACCAACGGACGGACGCCTGGTCGATCCTATAGGCTAAAAAATGATGGAGAAAAGTGCAAAATTAAAGCGAGATATAAACCGCATAGATGATATTGCCATTAACAAAGCGCATATTATTGCCACGGGAATTTTCATTAGTCCCAAAGGTGTTTAATTAAATGCTAGATCAGTAGGACTCTCTCTTTTAATTTGGACAGCAGCAGGGGGTGTTGTAAGTCTCTCGTTTGTCACAATCTACGCCGATATAGCTGCCATCTACCCTTATTCAAAAGGCAGTCCGATGTTCCTCTCGAAAGCATTGTCTCCAATTCTTGGATTTTGTTCAATATGGTCTGGTGTGGTAGCAGTAGGAGCCGACCTACATTCTTAGCGCGGATCGGGGCGTTATATGTTCTGCAGACGTTGTTCTCACTATGCAAGCCACCCAAACTCATATAATCTCTTTAATTTACTTTCAGCTTGGATCATAGGTATCTGGTGTTCCAAGCTATACTTGTATACATTTTGTTAACACGTAGGCGATGTCAATGTATTTGGCAAAATGATAATAAATGAACATTTCTGGTATTGTGAATTCACCGTAAAACAAACCACCAATAATCCAGTAATGCGGAAGCGTAGCTTGTCTGTTGTCTAGATTTTCTCAATGTGCCAATAATTGTACGTTGGTCCCAAGATATATAAGTTATTTAGACACTATATAGGAGGAATTAGGACAACGTGAATCTTCTAGAAGCTAACAAATGTTTCTATTTTCTTTACCATCAATGGTTTATATTTAGGAAATGGTGTGGATAATTTTTCAAACTCATTCGAAGGGTCCAATTGGAACGCTGGGTCTATAGCATTGGTATTTTACGCCAGTTTCTTTACGTATAATGGTTGGTAAGTACAGCAGATCTAATAGACTAGGATTATGAATATATTGGGTGTACAGATAGTATTAAAAATGAGCTAAAGATGAGCTTAAAGTCCATTCGTTCACGAAAACAAAATGGCGCAATTTTTCGAAAGGTTCCATTGCACAATTTGAAAGATAAGAATGTTTGCTTAAAAATGTCAATCTAAAAGTCATTAACCTTGTTTTATCTTTTATACAGTCTGCGAGGCATCCCTTTTATTTTCTCTACGATTTACATGAAGTCCTCTACATTTCCCATTCAACACTTGCCTTTCTCTTGGAACAAAATTAAGAATTAAAATGAATCCCATTCTCATTCTTTGTCAATATAAATAATGCAAACCTTAGAGTAAGATTTCAGTTTTTGAATTTGATCTATGGGTGACATTGAACGGGTCGAGGTCACTCCATCCTTCTTTCAGGGGTGCTAGTGCGCATGCCGCGTTGATGGAGGAATTGATTAATCCTCTTTTGTAAGTTCACGTACATGTAATCAGATCATGATACAAAATTAAACAGCAATTAATCTCGACAGAAGGAATCATAAAAGAGTGTAGGAGGAAAGTTGCAGAAGTACTCGTTGCCATAAGTCGCGCCCTCAAAACCCGGGTTTGCCGTCATCCAAATCCGCCTTTGCAAAAATGTGAACGGTTCATAATTAGAGTCGTTCGTGTTATTTTCGAGAGTTTTTAAACCTGGATTTAATTACTTTTATGAGAAGAGTTCCTCGTTATCAATTGTAATATTGTAAGATTTTGGCCCAGACTGACACAACAGAAATTGTCAACACTGGAGGATGGTAATAGCTCGTAATTGTATTTAAGTCAAAAATTATCCATATTTATGAATAAAAATAAATGTATGTCAAGTTCCTCATCTCTACTGGTCAATTTTCCTTGCTTTTGTAGTCGTTGTCCTGATATATTATCTTAGTCAAAATAGAGAACGAATGAATGGGGTCTTCTAGCTTTGCACATTTTAGACCAATCATAATACATAACCTTTTCTATTATGTTTAACGTCTTGGTAGATAAAAAATAACACGTATAAAATTCTGATAAAACGAACTTTTATATTTCGTGGCCTCATTAAACACTTATTTCGTTTGGAATGGCCTTAAACCCTGGTCCGCGAAATACACATTTAAATAAGGGATTGGCGCACCCGGGTCTGACTAAATTTTTCTGAAATGTTATTCATTTTTCGAGTAACATGTTCCAAATTCTCTATAAATGTTAACTAAACTAAAAGTAACTGTAATGCCTTGGTCACATTTGCTCCGATTTTCACTACGACGCCCGGCCGATTGAGTATTTTGTTCAGAAATGTATTGACGTGTCGCAAAAAGGTCGCGCATGCATTGTTACACATTTTCGCTTTTTAACACCACAGAATGTACACATATGGAAATCCTTTCGTCCTTCACATTTGCCTCTATATCTCAAAATATTTAAGGCGAATAACTCTGATATCGTATATGTATTAACAATGGGATAGGAGCATCATAAAACATGAATCAATTGATATTTTAGGTGAAATAAATATACGTGTTGCTGTGCTTGAAAAAAGGCGAATGGCGTAAATTAGCCCTATTTTAATGAATTTTGAAAACCTTTCGTCCTCCACTTTTCCACATACGACAGAAAACACATACTTTTGCAAACAAAATCAACTATCTCTAGAGTTTAAGAGCAAAATAATCATGTATGATTTATTAAAAATTGATCTCGTATTTTTTGTTTAATGCACACCTGAAAAGTTGAAGGTAACAAAAATGAGCAAAAAGGTCGCTGTCAACAGGTTCTATTTTTCAAACTCTATGACGTCACAATATGGGACGCTTACTAAAATTCATCCTTTGAAATAAAACTTCCATCTACCTTTATCAAGACGAAAAATTAGTATAACAGTCATATATTGTTTGAGTTATGAGCGTTTAAGGGCGAAAATAATTCAAAATGTAACGTGTCAACAGGGGATATTTGCCAGGTGTTTTGGTAACTCTTTTTTTAAAAAAGAACGCGCAAGAATCGTGAACGGAGTGGAGTTGATCTAAAAACTTCATCGAAACAGCTTTAAAATGATATATTACTTTAATCAGAATATTATCTTATAATCCGGGGAATCAAAGTTACATTCACGCGATACCCTTAAAATACAAATGCGCCACCTTTTTGCGACACGTCATTTAATTTTGAGCAAAATACTCAATCGGCCGGGCGCCTGCAGATGAATCGCAGCAAATGTGACCCAGGCATAAAACATAGACATAGAGAACCTGTTGATGTGTTTATTGTCTCAGTCGGCAATTCATCTACATGCCAACCGTACGGTGGCCGTACCTTCCTAAATTCGAGAGAAATATGCAACATAAAATCTAGGGATAAGCAGTACGATATACGATGTACGTATATGCAAATTACATTATCTGAAGTGGAATACCCCATTATCGGAAGATAGTATTCACAACATACGAATTTACGAAATGAATTGATTTGAGTCGCCTGCCCTACCCCCTCTCCATAGTCTGTAAGAATCTTCAAAATAGGAATTACTTTGTGCCAGAATGGAGATAATAACATCAGCTTATTCCAAATTGCAAAAAATCAATAAGATAATATGTCTCTAACATGTATAATATGGCATCATCACAACGATTCTCTTTTCAATTTACTTTGAATTTAGAAGGTGAATTTTGGGGTAGCAGGTCGTCCGTAAGATTCCGGGTATAAGGGCCCTGTTTATAAATAGGAAATCATCCAATGGTGGTCCTTAATTTTGCAGGTTTAAACTATCGTTTTGTCAGGAGTTGATGTACACTGTAATTCTCTATTTAAGGTGAAATAATAGTTAAATTGTTTCCCAAAACTTTTGTTGATTCTTTTAACACATTTAATTACATAAAGAGCATTACTAAGTTCAACAAACTGAAAAACATTAGATATGACAGTATCGTTAACATTAAGGGGTGTATATACTCGTAGATCATTTCTTTACATCCATAGATCCTTTATATTGATTTTGTGAAGCTACGGCCGCCGTAAACCCGCCGTAGAGCAAATATGACTGAGGTTTATTTACTATTATTGCATTTTCATTGCATGTCGACGTCTCAGTTCACAACATTTTATTAAATGATTTGGCGTCTAAAGTATTTGGAAGTGGTGCTTGGGTGGTTGCCATTATGATTACAATATCTGCATCTTGCACGGTAGTCAGTGGTTACATGGCGTCGTCTAGGTATAATTTATGACCACCAGTTTACAAAAGCCTCATTTATACATGCATTACGCTGTTGTCCATAAGATTAGCGATTTTCGTTGCGCTCTTGAATCTTTGAGATTTTTAGGAAAAAAACTCAGAGAGCGCATCTTACTTCTTATCCGTTGTCATGGTCAATGTACAGGTATTTGAAAAAATCAAATTTTGATCACTAAAGAAGTTTAAAAGTGACATATAACTGTCATTCTAGTTACCAAAGCAAGAAGATATTCTCAACTGTGCCCCGAAAGCAGCTGTCGATTTCCCTGCCAAAATGAGCAAGTAGACGGGAATTTTATCAAAATTCATGTATTTCTTGAAGAAACAGTGTATTTTTTTGCTAGCCATGAAAAAGAATAATGCTCTTTTCCTTAATGTCAAATTAATGTCAACCGTTCTTGAACAAAGTACTATTTTCAATTTTATTCATAAGGTTCTATGAATGCTTGATTTTCAATATGTTCACAAGTGTTTTGATTAACAATTGTGTTGACGTTTATTCTAGGTTATGTAACATCCCGACTTCAGATGCTTCTGCTGGTCGAACCAGCCCAAGATGAAAAGGACAGCGACGTGTCCATCCAGTAGGCTAGATCACAGGGGTAAAGCAGACCCGATGATGCAATGAGCTTGCTCGGCGGTATCATGACTGTGTAACGGGTCTTAATGTATAAGTGTGCTCGGCGGTAGGTTCAAACAACGCGGATCCTCAAAGCATGTGCTTATGGTATATTCGTGTTTTAACACCCGTGTAGATGCATACATGCTTTATGGTGCTATAGTAGTGGCTAAGTTATACGGACTGATTGAGATTCTAATTAAAAATAAACAATAACAGAATAAACGCAAAAATGCGATCACAAATGATGAAATATTACTATTACGCCAGAAATAAGTACTTATACTAGTAAGGTGTCGTACGGAGTAGAATCGCTGGTTTTTAACTACTCCTTGTTAATCTAGGCTATTTAATCATTATTTTCATCATTTTCTTAAAATGAAAAAACAATCTCAAGGTACTGTACATCGTACTTACCCTATTCTATGGCAAGTGTATTTACTGTATAACCCCCCCCCCACGACTTAGTGTTATAAATAAACAATACAATATAAAAAGGTTGCAGACATTATGGCAAATAAACAACTGTTGTCTAATACAATTAGAAAACATTTTTAACTGTTCATTTATCGAGGTTTTCAACATCTGGTCGTCATTTTCCAATCCCGGTGTAAAAGAAATTATGGTCCCCTGGGGATTATGGTCCCCTTTCTTAAAGACCCTTACAGGCCCCGATTGTGGATACGATAATAAGGGAAAGAGTTGTATTTAGGTCACCATATAAATCAATGGAAAGTTGGACCACAATTTGATAGGACCTCCTACCCTTTACACCGGCATTGCAAGCAAATCCACGAACTGTTGTTGTCTTATTTAATTTCAACCAAGCAACAGAAATATTTTTCAATCACCCCTATGACGTCATAATCAAATTGGAAATTCCTCCATATTTCTTGTAAGAAATATGGTCTATGACGTAAGTACTTGTCGTAGCAACCAAAGGCTACATGACGCACTACCTGGTCACTATGGCATGACGTCAAACAAAGCAAACATAGCAACATCATTAAAAACATGGCGACACCTCGAATCATGCAAACAATTTTGATGGAGACATTTCTGATTATATATGCAGCAAAGCAAACTGTTGGTACAATTGATTTGAATATTCATGAACTGGAGATGGTAGCCAATCACTTGAGTATAGAGGAGTGTAGGAAATTATCCGAAGCGTTACATATGACACATTTTAGATTGGATCATCCGGTAACAGGGAAAAATGAGCCAAAGGTTAAAATCTGTTCTCGTTTTACATGTTGTTTCTACTTGTTACATATACTGTATGTATATTATATTATTACATAAATTATATTACATTATTTTTTTTATTGTTTTTAAAGAATTGACACTTGGCAAGCTATGCAAAACCAGTGTGGCACAAATAATATTGACCGTCACATGCAATGCACAAAGTTGAACTTATTATACCCTATGCACTCATTCAATATTTGAATAGTTGACACAAAATAAATCAAATTTTAAACTGCAGCTCGCGTGTAGCATGCAGTGCACTGAAGCCGAACGTCTCAACACACTTACCTCATAGTCAATACAAAAGTAATTTGATTTTCCTAAAATTGGATCATGGGCCATTTACCTTTATAACAGTCAGTGTGGCATTTAGGTTAGATAGACCATTGGTACTCGGTCTTGTGAGGACGCGAATAAGCTCGGTCCAAGGCCCTCGGCTATTATTTCTCATAAACCCAGTACCCACAGTTTACCCATAACTTGAATGTTAAAGCGACTACGCCCTGGATATAATAGGACGAACTTGATATCATCTTTTGGTCGGGACACCTTAAGAGTGGCAACATTTGGAGAAAAATACTCAAAAAACTGTACATATCTGTATTTCTTTCAGATGGGGTGTCTAGATCTTTTGCTACATTGGGACAGTCACGAGGGTCGAGGTAAAACATTCCACGACCTTGCCATCCGTCTCAACGAACTTGGTCACAAAGATCTGGGAGACAAACTCAGTAGAGCCGTGTACCACGAACAATCATTTAAGGTTCATAAATACTTCCTCGATGATCCATTCAAGGAGAAAATCCATCACGATTCTAAACTGTTGGACGAAGACGACGACGACGACGCCGTGGAGGTGACAACTAAAGTACCGCAAGAAAAAGACGACGCATGGACGTGGTTTCACACTCTTGGTGTAGCCACTGCGGTGTTCAGTTTCCTGTTTATCACGATTTTCATATACGTTAAGTGTATCCCAGAGAAATATAAATGTAAATGCTGTCATCCCTGTTATACACGGTGCAGGAAAAGCTTCTATCAAAACATCGTCGGAGCTAAGAAAGTACCAGAGGATGAGAAACCTTTTCTTATTTTATAGATGTCGCTTCTAAAAATGGCTTCAACGTTCTTTTGGTAATAAAATGTGTACAGAAAAAGAATTCAACATAAACTAGTGCACTGGATATCATGTTAACTATTGTTATTATTCAGTATTGCATTTAAATACATATATATGCAGAACAGTTTTACTTCAATGTACGTACCCAATTGCTCAATAGGGCTACAACGAATTGCTGAATTACCTAAGAACGAATAAAGAAATATTTCATCTCTAATAGCTTCAAAATCTCGTTTTTTTAATGGGATTTTAAGACACAAGCGTAAGTACGTATTTTTATATTAAATGGAAATAAGCATATTTTTAGCCTCAGTGAATAAAGTATATATTCCGGGATAACATTCTCCTGCCCATCGTTATCCCATAAACTACTATAAATTGTGTATTTTATTTGAGGAATGAAGACCGAAGAGCGGGGGTAATAATGTAGAATTCACCCTTTAGGGCTAGGCACAAAATCTTTGGAACCTAAAACGTTTGTGCTTAGCCCTGCGAGGCTTATTCGATATTACCCCTGCTCTGATGTCTATATTACGATTCGAACATGAAAACTCACCAAAATGTTTCGAATATTCATTATGGTCCGCCATTATTACGACCCGTCGTTATGACGTCACACATTACACGTATTACCAGGGGTATTCTTCGCGAATATACCCCGGGTGAAATGGTGTCCTTGTTTACAGTTTAGTGCCCCCTGCATGTACATATACAAAGTGTTTGTAGAAGGCGTGAATACAGTCATGTTCGAATATAAGTTATTGAATGATTTGAAGTGCAATACAGGATATATTCTGCTCGAGAATTCCGTATTGGAACGAGACGAAGTCGAGTGCCAATACAGAATATCGAGACAGAATATATCCTGTATTGCACTTCAAATCATTCAATAACGTTTTTTTTATCGTGTGATCCTCTGTATTGCTACTGAAATTGTCCCCTCCATACCAATATTTTCTGTATTGCGACGGAGATGATCAGCGGGGACAATCTCAGTAGCAATACAGGTTGGTACAGCACAAGAACTTACCAATCAGAGGGCTTCATTTTACAGATCATACGATAAATTTCTTTATTCCATGATCTGAAATTCCCTGCAATCTGATTGGTCCATGTGACTTAAATATATCGTGTATTTGTATGCTCTCTCAACTTAGCGTTGGAGAGTGAAGAATGACGTCACCGTTGGGATACGGTTATAAATGCAGCTGGCTTGTTTTTAGGAAAATATGATTATGTAGAACCTTTTGACATCTACTTGTCACATCTACCTTTACATGCTTTATGTTGTTAACGTGAAATGTTGTTTCCATTCATTACAAATTTTTTATTATAAACTTTTATTGGAATCAATCAATAAAACAAATAAGTGATAAAAGTATCAAAGGTTAAAATCATGTTACAATGTTCATGTTACACTGTTCATTTATGAGCTTAACCATAAATCATTTAATTTAGAGAGATATTTTAAATCTAATTCGTCATAAATCAATAGGGTAGTTTCTAAATAGCAGAAAAATCAATGAAATCTAGCGCTGCCATCTTTTATTCAGCTATTAATTTGGGCTACATGCTAAAATCTTGGAAAAGTGGCTTAATTTCATGATTTATCAAAGTGTGTTAGTTGAATCTGTATAAAACTTGAATGATATACCACATGATGACCCTGTTTATGTACATGTTGTGATTAAACATCACTGGCATGTAGCGGCCCTGATATCGATAAATTCTACACGCAATATAACCCGATTTTAGATGCTTGGTTAAAACTTTACACGAAAAAGCCTCGATATCCGGGCATTTACTCTTACACTGAACTGAAAATAGCATCGTCTAAACGTGTATGTCTTGACTTCCGGGTAAGTTTATCAACATTTATACTAAATTGAAAGAGCAGTCGTGCTTATATCGTGTACCAGTTTGATTGTTTTATATGTGTGTGTATTTATAATATGATAGCCTAGTAATACCGTGTCGTTAGAACAAGTGCTAGATATCGAACTGATGACCTGAAATTAGATTATTGGACTGATCGCGCATCTGATATTAGATGACTAATTTGCATTGAATCTGATATTAACTTGCAACCCAATACTGCAATACCACAGTAAATACCATGACTTTACATTAGAATGATAACACGGCCTCATATTCTAATTCATTATACGTCCATTGCAGGCCAAAAATGTTTCAATGTGGATATTGTAATGCACACGAGAATACATTCGATTCGTATATATTGATCATACATCAATTGAACATGGAGATTTTCCTGTACACTTTTCCCAAACATGTGGAATAGACCTACTCGAGTCTCTAGCCAATACTTGGCTAGAGGGGACTTCATCTGGAATACTGTGAACTCCATTTGAAAAAAGCTGGCCGTCGTGTCATAAATTTATTGAATATTTTTAAAAATATGTTCGAAAACTGGACGAAATGTCGTTAACGTCTGACATTAGTAACTGGCTGTAAATTCTAAGTTAGCAATCCAGAAGATGTGAACTAATACACTGATCACTTTATGTGTGTTTTGGAATTTTTGGTGAGGTAATAAGACCAAAACTCGCAATTCAAATTGTGATGTGGAAAAATGGCGGACATATGATTTCAAATTTTATGATTACGACATGACCAGTTGTTCATGCAGGAATATATCTTTACTGGAAGGCCACGATACAGTGGCCTTAGAAGAAGGTAAGAATAGACTAGATGCGAGTAGAAATTATCTTGATTTATCCTATGCCAAGTAGGGTTTTAGGGAGATAAGTTGGTAAGATATATCCCGTATCCTGATTTTGAGGTTTCCATATCAAGAACCTCCATATCTCCCGTCATATCTCCCGCTTCGGTGCATATCTTCCCGCTTCGGAGCGTATCTTCCCGCTTCCAAAAAAGTGGAAATGCAATAAAATGACTTTGCATATAAATGATTTGTTTATTTTTTACACCTTGTACTACTGAAAACTCTACTTGGTATAGGATAAAGCAGTTATGTACGGTCGGTTTGGATATTGGGTTCATCCCTCGTGAGATATGCACATCTACTTTCTGTCCCTACGGTCCCTCAGGTAGATATGCATATCTCCCTCTGGAAAAACCGCATATCCAAAACCTCCCAGTACATAACCCTTATTTATCCCATGGTTACAGGGATATAGATCGAATATCACGTGAAGATATAATTGATACGTGGATGAAGATATCATATTTTAGCAAACAATTCCCAAATCATCGAATATCACTTTTGAAACCATCGAATATCACTTTTTGAAAGGTGATATTCGATGGTTTCAAAAGTGATATTCGATGGTTTTGATTTTTTAAATGTTTTTATTAATTCAGCAAAACGATTGTTTATATATTTATTATATATTTTTATTTTTTGGGATCTTGTTTTTAGGGCTTTCGCATTAAATACAAACCACTCTGTTACGTCACGTATATGACGTTCGTTGAATTATCGCAATCAAAATGTCAGACGAAATGGAATTTCCATTGCAATTTATTTGACTATTCAATGTTCGCTGGATAATAATTCCCAATGGGATAAACGGACAATCCTATGGTTTTTCAAAAAAATCACTTATATCCACGCATGGATATCAGTATCTTCACTCATTCGCTGCGCTCACTCGCGAAGATATCAATATCCACTCATGGATATAAGTGATATTTTTTCAGAGCCATAGGATATTGCTATATTATTCCATAGTTAGCATGGTATCCATAGGATAACATGTCAAAATAAAAACGGTATTTTTGAAATCAGTGGTAAAATATGATATTTTTGGCAAATTTTCACTTAACCATAGCATACGGTGTTTTAGCCATGACATACGGCGCCGTATGCCATGGTTTATGGCTTTTCGCTACTTCAGACTCAAAACGAGGCTAAGTGTCAATATCGCCGTATCGTTTGGAAAATTTGTTTCAAATCACTTAATTCCCGACGATTCTGATGATGACTTTAACTATGGAATATAAAGAACATCCTATGATTTACTCGTGATATGATTTTAATCCACTCATGGATGTTGATATCTACACTCTCTCGCTACGCTCACTCGTGCAGATATCATATCCATTCGTGGATAAAAATCATATCACTCATAAATCATAGGATATCCTCTATTTAAGATGTGATATTCGATAGTTTAAAAGTGATATTCGATGGTTTGTAAATTGTTTGCTAAAATATGATATCTTGATCCACATATCAAATATATCATCATGTGATATTCGATCTATATCCTCCTTGCAACCATGGGATAAAGCTTTACGTCCCGCTCCAAGCGGGCAGATATAGTATATCTGCCCGCTACGTCAAAATCGCCGCTTGCATATTTGTTCATAATTTGTAACGTTCGCGGAATGACTGTAAACGGCAATTGAGAAAACACAGACAATCAGGGTCTGTTTGATAGTTAAAAAAAGGGAAAGAGCATCCACTTAATCAATAAAAAATTCGAGAAAATAAATATGGGAATATTTGAGAGAACATGAAAATCCGCCCATGGCCAAGAAAACAAAACTGGACATGAATATTCTAAAATGTTTCCACGATTTAACAATGTGAACCAGATGACCAAGATTGGTATGGGATAAACATATTATCCTATAGTCGCGGTTCAGGATATTGGGATTATCCCTTGGCCAATATATAGGGGTTATGCAATTGGAGGCTTTGGATACAGGGAATATCCCTCGGGATATACAATATATCTTCCCGAGGGACCGAAGGGACCAAGGGAAGATATATTATATATCCCTCGGGATATTCCCTGTATCCAAAACCTCCAAGTGCATAACTGTTGTATATAGTTTAGCATGATATGTACTTTTTTCTGTAACTGGAATACGATTCTAATATACAAGCAGCACATACGTGTTCCCGGGGAACCATAAATATTTTGTGTAGGGTGTGGACATTTTTCTTTTCATTTCTCTAAAATCAGATTAGTCTCATAAAATTCATACAAAGTTGGGCCTAAGCCTCTATTTTCGTATTCTGCATGTTAAGATATTTATAATGTAAAACCTGAGAGATAAATTCATTGTCTTCGGTTGAGAATAAGTATAGGGTAAATGTGTGAATTCTG